CATGTTTATGCGGATCGGTTTCCCAATCGAGTGCAACCAACCCCTCGTGCCTTTGTTAATGTAGTACAACTGGCTCGTGAATCAAGTGACGGCATGCCGGTGTTCCAAGACCTCACGATCAAATACAGGTCCGCACTGAAATACTTGTCGGGAGGATACTTTATAAAACAAGGTAAAATTTTTTTTTCAATTTTTTTTTTATTTTTACACACATATTTTGGTTTATCTTCCTTCTACAATCATCATCTGAAAATTAATGACTCAACTTCAAAGTCACCCTGTATATGTGGTTTACACAGAATCGAGAACGTGGAACACCAACTTCCGGACCAATTCTAAAGCAAAAGGCAGTCAACTTAAGTGAAGAATTGACACTTTGCCGGTAAGTCCGCTGCATCAAAATTTGGAGAACATTTCAAAGAATTACTGAAGCAGTATGGTTTAAATCCAGAACAAGTTTACAACTGCGACGAAACGGGCCTAAACTATGAAATATTAACGGAGAAAAGTTTAGCTACAGAACAACAATCTGGAGCTCCTGGTTACAAACGCAGTAAAGAACGTGTGACTATCCTTCCTTCCGGTACACACAAACTTCCTTTGTGGCAGAAATGCCTGGATGGATGCCGCTCTATTCAAGAACTGGTCTTACAATCATTTTCTTCCCAAGACTGAACGATATTTGAATGAAAAAAAAATGCTGAACTTATTTCTTTTTAGTCATGCAATATATTAATTTTGCACCTTAATTACCTAATAGCGTAAAATGCATCAATACATCTATTTAATAATTACCTGCCTCTAACAAAAAAAAATTTTTTGTTATTAAATACAATTTTCCGAAGAAAAACAGACAAACAAAATCCCTCACACAACTGGCAACGTCGTACTCCGCATGCAATGCATGTATCATCGCGTGTTGTTGTGATTACTAATACATTTAACTGTAACTTTGTGATTTATGGAGGTTGTTTTTTTTTCTTCTTTTTTCGTGCATCGTTTCAAAGTGATAATCGTGGCAATTGGTAAGTTCTGTCATTTTTTTTAAGTAAATGTACTGTACTGAAAGCGTTATCTAATAAAAAATATTAGCCACAAAAGATTGCGTAAAAGTATTCAATGATTCAAGGCATATTTTAAACAAAAATATCATACCAACCTAAAAAAATCGATGAATCAGTTGCGTCGTCGTGCGGTTGCGTTGCAGCGTTGCCAAATGTTTGAGAAAATGTAATTATTTACGATAAACTTTTTTGCTTAGAATAAAGCAAGGAATCGCCTCTTAAAGTTACGAACGTTATTTCCCTAACACGCTGTATACTAGTAGTTAGTTACATCAGGTATCTGTGTTGATTTCTATTTCAATGCCAGGATAATAAAGTTAATTCTCGGTTGAGTTGAACATGTCGACTGTTATTTGAATAATCCCATCCATGTATGTACGTTAGTAACAAGAAGCAAAGATCTTGCGATAAAGTCAATTTGCATCGATTTATCGACCATTGCAGCTGGCATATTGTCAGCGTACATCAAATGAAGATACGCCTATAGAACAGGACTCGCGTATTATCATACCATACGATGGAATAATTCTATTCGATATTTCAATCTATCCGTAAGGCTAAATGGGACCTTTCGTTTTTTGGACGCTGTATGACAATTATACTTTTGTGGCGGTTGCGTGTATTGTTTTGTAATAAAGAAGACGTACCGCAAAACTTGTCTTAAAAAAATATGGTAACAAATTCAAACGAACGTTCGTTTCGCTAACCGCGTCCGTCTTCATCGAATACGGTAAATTAGGTATTGCACAAAAGAGAAGAGAATGTAAAATGGCCAGCGTACATATATTATTAAAAACTCGTAATAAAGCATTCAGAGAAAGTGAAGATGCACACGACGGATCGGTTTTGGTCGCTGGCGTATAATGTATGTGTCGATATACCATCGTACAAAGACGTTTAGTTTCTTTATTTATTGTTATTATCTTTTTGATGGCGTATCAGCAATGCGCGGCTATTGATTTATCGCATATAAGTCGCTGTCTTTTAATGTTCTCTTTTGTCATCAATAAGACGCATCGTTAACATCGTCTAAAGTGTGGTGAGTATTTCGTAACGGTTTCGTTGCTGTTAATCATCAATTATACAAACTACAGAAGCTAACAACTTGCCGGAGTGTTCCTTTTGATTTCAAGAACTCCTTGCTCCAAATAAATCTTCTGAGACAAAACGGAATAACTAGGTTCCTGGGAAAGTGAGGCTCATGTCGAAATATTTCTATCAACATTTGGCATGGTGTTTTCTTATACAAACTTCCATCCTGTGGCCTCCCAGAGAATCTTTTCAAACTGATCTTATCTGCTGACCATAGGATATCCATCGTAATTGACTGGTTCTCCACAATGCCAACGCGGGTGTTCCCCAAGGATCGGTCTTGGCTTCAACATTGCTTCTATTGTGTATCAACGACCTCCTTTCCTGTATAACTACATTAGGATTCCAATATTAGATTGCCTCCTGAGAAAAGAATTACGAATCAGTGTTCTCCAGTGTTTACAAATCATCAAGCGCCTTTAGACCTGGATCAAGACAGCAAATTATCAAATGGCCGCGAAAGCCTTAACCAATTTGTCATTCATCTAAATGCTTAGAGAACATGTGGAAAAGAAGAAGGTCCCGATCTTAAAACTATGTTTTTCGAAGCAACGACACTTTCATGAAATGTATCCAGAGGGGATCTCGCAATGTTGCTAGGCTAGTATTTTGTTTAATAAAATATTAGCTTGAAGATGTGCTATCAAGTGTGGTCAATAACTCGTACTAACATTGATTTATTTTCCGATGTTGCTATTGAACGACACGAGGATTCCAGCAAATCTCGTCATCTGAACAGTCAACTGAGTTTGGCCTTCCATCCGAATCGTAATGAACTGCGATCAGGCTTCTTCCTGTTCTTATAACCCGGACCAACAAAGTGTTTTAAGCTGCTTATCATGTCATACTAAAAGCAGCTGATAGCTGATATACCCGTCAGGTGAAATAAACGCATATTGTACCAACTTTAACGTAACTGTATGTAACCGCAAGTTTATGGCGAGTGGTACCAGAGCACCACCAACTGGACCGTACATTCAAGGATGTATTATAAAAGCGATAATAACGATGGCGATGTATAAAGCAGCACCAGTCGTAAGAATTATGATGCTGAATGTGGGTTAATTGCAGATTGAATTCACGTCGCAGTCGGCCAGTATGGAAAGGGAATCTGCATTTCACTTTTCCATATAAAATACGCCAGATGAAGACGACGAGCTGCGTTATGTGAACGTAGGCGAAATGGACGTTATGGATTGGATACAGGGCTTGTCTTAATTTCGTCGGTTCAGTAGTTATACATAACATAACTTTCCAACCACATACGGCCGAAAATGGACTTTCGGGTAACTCACCAGCATGGTCTAGGCTTGGTCTCAGGTATTACAACCAACAAAAGCTTAGGAACTATCCTCTATCTATAGTATAATATCTATCGAAATAAGACAACAAAAAGTGACTATGCGGGTCAGAAACAACCTTTTTTTCGTGATGTTTGTCCCACTTCTTTTTGTTTGGTTTGGTACAAATGTACCAGTAGGTTAAATGCCCAGTAGTTAAAATGGCGATTAGTTCAAATGTCCAGTAGCTAAAATGCGTATTACTTCAAATGCCCGTAGTTCAAATCCCCATAGTTCAAATGCCCGGTAGTTTAAATGTCCAGTAGTTCAACATTTTTGGTTGATTTAATAACAGCTTGTTAAAACTCGTAACTGCTTCTGAATATAGAAACGCGAAGGCTCTTTTGTTGTTGAATTGTCGTACCGACAATTCTAGACGTATAGGTACGGCCAATTTGCAGCGTGAAAGCCATTCGATGACTTTAGCACTTCTTCCAAGAGGTAAAAATCTATACATCACGCGGACGAGTAACTTCCGGTTTCAAGTACCGCCAGCGGCTGATCGTGAGGCATCACGCGTCGTTTTTGTTGAGCGACAAAAACGCGAATAAAAAGAAGAAGCAACGGAGGAACAAGAGGTCTCTCATGCTCGCCGGAGCGGAACGACCGAACCGTACCATCTGTCGGTACCATCGCATCGTGTCGACCCGGTTTGCATCCTTTCTCTTTCGCACGAAGATTGCCGCCTGCCGCCGGCTGCTGACCGGTACTACTCGTTCCGGTAGTACTTCCAATTCATCTACCTCTGCAGACCGATAAACTAGATACATAAGACCGGAAGGTACTACTCGGTGCGATAGTACTGCCGTAAATGTCGCTTCTCGTCCCGTCAACTGGTTGGTAAACTAGGAATATAATTGCCTGTACGTTATCGCATAATACTACCAAGTTAAAGGTACCACTCGTTCAGGTAGTACTCACCTGCATCTACTAACACCTAAATTACAAATACGAGTATCTGTCTATCGGTATTTCATAAATATAATACCGCATTCAAATAAGCGAACCTTAAGGTACTACTTGATACAGGAGTACCACCAAGAAGGTACTCTCTGCTGACTGTAAATCTATGCTAGAAATATAGTTGCATATATGTCCTTGCTCTATGGTACCGCATATATTCAACAAGGCATAGGGGTACTACTTGCTTCCGGTGGTACCACCGATGTGTAACTGCTAAACTAGAAATGCGACAGCAGTGAAAATACAACAAGGATGTTACCTATCTATGTGACGATATAGTGAAAGTTACTATTGGGGTTCCTCAGGGATCAGTCTTAGGGCCATCGTTATATTTGATCTATAACTGGATGTTGGGGTGCGGTTAAATGGAAGGTTACGCGGGATTTGGCGATAATTGCAGAAGTTTGGTCAACGAATGGAATGTGAATGGAAGATGCTAATTGATAGAGGATAAATATTGTTTTTCTAAGTGATATTTCTTCTGCAGACTATCTTCTTTACGAAGTAATAGGCGTACGTATCCATGTCGCAATAAAAGCCATTCGTTTACGGTGACAAATGTATTTTTTAAAAAAGTATCCTACAAAAGCTTTATACAAGAAGTATAACATGTGTAGATGTTATCCATGTTACAATGTTGTTATGATGATGAGATGTTGTGTGATCACTCGTCAATGTTGTCGTTGAGATGTTGGAATGCATCATGACCCGTGTGTGTTGTGCTTCTCTCGAGACGTTGGTATTTACACTGAATCAGTCCTACGATCAGTAGGGGGCGCCATAGGAGCCGCTAGGTGCCGAAGGGGCCCCGTAGCTGGAGCTGGGTCCGCTAGGGTATCCGCCTGCCTGCTGGGAGATCTGTTGGTATTGAGCCACCTGGATGGCCTGTTTGATGCCCTCTAGATCGATGCCGACCACGCGCTGTTGGTAACTGGGCACTCCGTATTGCGGGGACGGGGCGCCGTACTGCTGGCTTGGGGCACCGTACGATGAGCTGATGCCTAAGAAAAGTTTTAATTACTATTTTCACAGTAAACACTGATAGACGAAGGTATATAGATTTCTCTGTATATGGAAGAAGAAGATGGTGCTTAGGTTTGTATATTTTGGTACATACCTCCGCCGCCGCCGCCGCCTCCGTGTCCTCCAGCCGACGACGATGAGGACTGTTCTTCTCTGAGCAGGATCTGTCTGACCTGTTCCAAGAGCTGCGGGTCAACGGATGCGCCCTCTGACGTTTGGTATCCGGACGAAACTGCTTGGTATCCACCGCCACCTCCTGAGAGGCCTCCGCCTGAGAATCCGCCGCCTCCGGAGTATCCGCCACCACCTCCGCCACTAGGGCGATTGTAGTTGTAGCCGCTTGGGGGCTCTGCGGTTGCCAGCGTGGCGAACGCCAGCGCGAGGACCTGAAAACGATAACAAACGTTCAAGTTTTCATATTTAACTTATTGAAAATAGAAAAAAAAATCGGTCGCGATTGGATTCGAACCCACGACCTCCCGGTTAGAAATATGTTACGCGTGACGCAGTGTTGCCAGATTGAACTTTAATCACAACAACCTTGACGATTAATGGAAAAAGTGTCTAGGGTCTAGATGAACAACTTTTTAGTTTACTTGTCAAATGTGTCAACTAATTTTTCGCAAAGTTTGCTGATTTCTACTGTTTTCAATTTAAATTAATGGTTGGGTTGTTCGGTAGGTCCAGTGATCTCAACTTTTATATCTGAGAAGTCTATTACGAGGTCACAATCCTATAGGGTTCAGCTTTGTAGTACCTTAAGCACATCAATGAGTATTAAGATTTTTCATTGACTCCGGAATTTTTGTTGAAGTTTTTTTTTCAATGACGTAGATGGCTTAGAAAACAATTTCGTACATCTTAAAGTAACCTTCATCTTTCATAATAATATGTTTGCGAATATCAAAACTCAAAACATCAATCTGTTTCCGGAATTGTAGGATGAACTATAGAAGACGGACAAGTTTGAAGCAACGAAACTTTTTTCATAATTTACTTAACGAATTTAGCGTTGAAACTTTTGTGGCAGCATTCCCTCATATGAGCCATTGCGAAATACATATCTACATAATTAAACTACATACAAAATGCTGTGTAAACATCTTATATAACACATCCGCAAAATAAGAGTATGCCTATCCAAATTAATTGCTCTAGGCTACTTTACATAAGTTGATTTCTTCGGTATAAAAGTAGCCCGAAGCTGGAGCAACGCGTGCTTATCTTTAAATTATGCTAATCGCTTTAACATCGGTAAAAGTGTTACTTTTCATTTGGAGAATTGCTCAATTCACCCATGATTCAAGTGAAATCAGCATTATACCCGTACGAAACAGTGAAAGATTTTTTCTTCCCATTGATGATTCATATTAGACAGAGAACTGAAGCAATGCTAAACTGATTTTTATTTCTATCCCACTTCTGATGTTATGGCATTATCTCCCAATTATAATCAAAATCTCAATCTAACCAATTATCTTGAATGGAAATGCTAAATCGACTCAACATTTGTGGATACACAGGTTACTGAAACGTCATAAGTGCAATCCCGAACTAATTTTTGGCACAACGGTAGCATATGCTAAGTTTTATCCCACTTCTGATGTTACGGCATTATCTCCCAATTATAATCGATATCCCAATCTAATTACTCATCTTAAAATCAAACTACATACACTCGATATTTGTGGGTAGATCTTGAAAATTGACTTTTTTGCTGACTTAGAAAACAATGTACGATTTTTTCTTTTTGTTGAAGATTCATATCAGACAGCGAACTGAAGCATTATAGGTGCAATCCTAAACGTATTTTTGGCACAACCGTAGCATATGCTGTTTTATCCCTCTTCTGATGTTATGGCATTATCTCCCAATTATAATCGAAATCCCAATCTAACCAAATATCTTGAATGCAAATGCTAAATCGACTCAACATTTGTGGATACACAGGTTCCTGAAACGTCATAAGTGCAATCCCGAACTAATTTTTGGCACAACGGTAGCATAGCAAGTTTTATCCCACTTCTGATGTTACGGCATTATCTCCCAATTATAATCGATATCCCAATCTAATTAATCATCTTGAATCAAACTAAAAACACTCGAAATTTGTGGGTAGACTTTGAAAATTGACTTTTTTGCTGACTTTTAGAAAACAATGTAGGATTTTTTCTTTTTGTTGAAGATTCATATCAGACAGCGAACTGAAGCATCATAAGTGCAATCCTAAACTGATTTTTGGCACAATGTTAGCATATGTTAAGTTCTATCCCACTTCTGATATTATGACATTATCTCCCAATCATAATCGAAATCCCAATCTAACCAAATACCTTGAATGAAAATGCTAAATCGACTCAACATTTGTGGATAGACAGGTTACTGAAACGTCATAAGTGCAATCCCGAACTAATTTTTGGCACAACGGTAGCATATGCTGAGTTTTATCCCACTTCTGATGTTACGCCATTATCTCCCAATTATAATCGATATCCCAATCTAATTAATCAGCTTGAATCAAACTAAATCCACTCGACATTTGTGGGTAGACTTTGAACATTGACTTTTTTGCTGACTTTTAGAAAACAATGTAAGATTTTTTTCTTTTTGTTGAAGATTCATATCAGACAGCGAACTGAAGCATTATAGGTGCAATCCTAAACTAATTTTTGACACAATGTTAGCATATGTTAAGTTCTATCCCACTTCTGATATTATGACATTATCTCCCAATCATAATCGAAATCCCAATCTAACCAATTATCTTGAATGGAAATGCTAAATCGACTCAACATTTGTGGATAGACAGGTTACCGAAACGGCATAAGTGCAATCCCAAACTAATTTTTGGCACAACGGTAGCATATGCTAAGTTTTATCCCACTTCTGATGTTGCGGCATTATCTCCCAATTATAATCGATATCCCAATCTAATTAATCATCTTGAATCAAACTAAATACACTCCACATTTGTGGGTAGACCTGGAAAATTGACTTTTTTGCTGACTTTTAGAAAACAATGTACGATTTTTTCAGATTCATATCAGACAGAGAACTGAAGCATCATACGTGTAATCCTAAACTGATTTTTGGCACATTCGTAGCATATGCTAAGTTTTATCCCACTTCTGATGCTATGGCATTATCTCCCAATTATAATCAAAATCTCAATCTAACCAATTATCTTGAATCAAACTAGATACACTCGACATTTGTGGGTAGACCTTGAAAATGGACTTTTTGCTGACTTTTAGGAAACAGTGTACGATTTTTTCTTTTTTTTGAAGATTCATATCAGACAGCGAACTGAAGCATTATAGGTGCAATCCTAAACTAATTTTTGGCACAACGTTAGCATATGCTAAGTTCTATCCCACTTCTGATATTATGACATTATCTCGCAATTATAATCAAAATCCCAATCTAACCAACTATCTTGAATGAAAATGCTAAATCGACTCAACATTTGTGGATAGACAGGTTACTGAAACGTCATAAGTGCAATCCCAAACTGATTTTTGGCACAACGGTAGCATATGCTAAGTTTTATCCCACTTCTGATGTTACGGCATTATCTCCCAATTATAATCGATATCCCAATCTAATTAATCATCTTGAATCAAACTAGATACACTCGACATTTGTGGGTTGACTTTGAAAATTGACCTTTTTGCTGACTTTTAGAAAACAATGTAGGATTTTTTCTTTTTATTGAAGATTCATATCAGACAGAGAACTGAAGCATTATAGGTGCAATCCTAAACTAATTTTTGGCACAATGTTAGCATATGTTAAGTTCTATCCCACTTCTGATATTATGAAATTATCTCCCAATTATAATCGAAATCCCAATCTAACCAAATACCTTGAATAAAAATGCTAAATCGACTCAATACTTGTGGATAGACAGGTTACTGGAACGTCATAAGTGCAATTCCAAACTAATTTTTGGCACAACCGTAGAATATGCTAGGTTTTATCCCACTTCTGATGTTACAGAATTACCTCCCAATTATAATCGACATCCCAATCTAATTAATCATCTTGAATCAAACTAAATACACTTGACATTTGTGGGTAGACCTTAAAAATGTACGATTTTTTCTTTTTGTTGAAGATTCATATCAGACAGAGAACTGAAGTATTATAGGTGCAATCCTAAACTAATTTTTGGCACAACGTTAGCATATGCTAAGTTCTATCCCACTTCTGATCTCCCAATTATAATCGGAATCCCAATCTAACCAGTTATCTTGAATCAAAATGCCAGATACGACTTTCATCTCCAAAGGCGACGTTTTTCAACGCTGATGCAAACGTTTGGAACTTTTCCGCCGATAATTTACATGAGGAGACTTTTACTTTCATTCATCACCTACAATCCTCTTCCTCAAACCGAGCATTGGTTTTACTTTCCTTTGCCCGTGACTGATGTCACAATATACGCATTGACTATCATCATTATGTGTTAATAGCATGCCATCAATTCCCAGCGACTTATAGATAATAACTACGATCTTCTGCGCATATGGTATCTTGAAGTGATGCCTATATCAATAAACGATTCTCGAGGCACTTTCTTCAAACTGTGCAGTTGAAAAGAATGTCATTTTTTGATCGTTTTAGTTTTGAAATCTCCATGTCCTTATCAAAGTAGTTTCACATAAACGACATAAACAACGAAACAATTCGCACGTATCTAATCGGTTACAAGATGCAATAATTCTCGGCTAGTGTCGATCCGCCTTGTAAAGGCCTCGCAAAGTACCTTATTTGTCGCTCCGCGTCCGATGAAGATTTCAACAGCGTAGTATCGGATTCGTCGGAATGATGTCCAGAAGAATTTATCGCTATCGCTTCCGATGTCACCGTTTATGCTTATGTTAAGAGGCGACGGGAAAGTTTTTTGTGTAACGATGTTAGAAAGTGAAGATGTGCCGCCGTATGCGAATTTTTCCCACGTGTTTGACTATGCAAGCCTTCCGGGTATGTAAATCACAAGTTTCGCGGATTTCGCTTGTTTTTTATATGAATTGCTGGTTTTGGGAATGCCAGTTTGTAATAGACCAGGGAAACAAGCGAAAAAAGTTTCTGGGGTACCTCAGGGGTCTATACTTGGGCCACTCCTGTTTCTCTTGTACGTTTACGATCTAGATAGATCGGTGAAGCATTGCAATGTACGATTTTTTTGCCGATGATATCCAGCTTTACCACGAAATTCAACAGGAGCTCAATGTAGATATAAAGTCTATAGATAGCTATACTAGACAGCATAATTTAATTTAAAAAGTAAGGCATAAAGTGAAATGAAATTTGATATCTTTAAATGGATAGGGCATACCAATTGGAGGATCAGCAAGAAAGGTTCTACTTGAAGTGGATCAAAAAATCGCTCCCTTTAATATTGACATTCAATTAGCAACAGAATCTTTACGAAATTTAGGCAGGAAATCGATGTTCTTTTTTTGTTTTTGGTAAAGAAAGTTCTACAGTTGCATTTCTTACATGTTCGGTCACTCGTGAAACATACCGTAATTTCACGAAAGATCATCTTAATATTATATATGAAAAGTACGATAAAGTTAGTTATAGGTTTTTAGAGTCAAAATGTCTAGTAAGATTTTTGATAGATAGAATTTGCGAACACGTGCAAATTTAATAGATAATGGAACAAAATCAGGGCAATTTATGTAACCACCGTCAACTTTCCTTATTTCCATAGCAAAGTGCATTTCTATGTCCTCCTAATAAGTAAACAGCTAGTGTTTAACTTTGCATATTAGCGAAGGCACTAACTGCTGTCTATTTAAATATGCTAATAGTTTAAACAAACAATTTGTATTTGATTCAGTAGCCAGCTTTCATGCGCTGGGTGGGCGTACGCATTTGCTGTGTACTGATCGTCGTTGGTGGCATTTTTCTTTGGTGAAACAGATCCTCGGTTTTCGAGGAGACAGAAAATAAATGGTTATATGTATTTTTTGGCTTAAACTTTTGACGTTTTTTCGGAAAAAATGTTCGTAGTGGTAAAAAATGGGAACGGCGTTGTAATGGGTGGTGGAATTTTTTTTTATAACAAAATTTTCTTCATATCAACAGAGCACCGATGAAAGTTGATTTGATAGTATTTTGATAAATTTCGAACATGCTATGTAGGTTTTTTCCTCGGAAAGGAGATGAGATACAAAGAGATACTTAGAGACGAAAATCTGTATCGCTAGCTGATTTATCCAGGAAAATACATATTTTTGAAAAAGTAAGATGCCACTGGAATTCATAATTGTCTTCTGGTTAGTAGTAATTTAGCCTCTTATTGCAAAATTCAACAAAATCGACACAAGAATCCTTGAGACATTAATAAAAAATTGTTTTTTCAAAATTTTGACATTTTTAGGATACATGTTTATATGAACCTTTCTACACTATATACGAATATAAGCAAAAAGATAAAGATACATAGTTCTCGACGATGCAATAAGCCATCATCAAGACAATCATAATTATCTGCAAAAAGGTGTAATTACGGCATGGTGACGAAATTTGCTATAAAGCGAACAACGCGGCGTCTCAACTTTCTCTTTTTTCTTTATTTACACATGTTTTCCTAATCTCGACAACATCCTGATCACGTTTCGTCTAATCAGATTCTGATGATCATCAGCCGACTAGAGAGCTGGTTTGATCGCTATCGTCTATCGTTTCTGCGATCGAGCATTTTTATGTACAGACACGGGCAAAAGAAATGGCCCTGCCTATTTTCTATATCAAGGGAAGTTGTTGCAGTCTTGAGAAGATGCATAGATCTTAACGAATATAACAGTGTTTTCGTGCTTAAGCTCGTTGATGAAATGCAAGGTTGCCACTTGCTTCTATTTTCCCTGATATAGGGAAAATGCTATTTAATTTGAAGGGAGGTGTACCTACAAGAAGATTGCGTACGTCTAAGTGGGTATATTAATATGTAACTACTTTAGGTGCGAGGTAATTAGAAAGATTTGTAATGACAAATGAGCATTGAAAGAGATAGCAGACCCCAAGGATGCAAATTATATAATTGGTATTCGGGTTAGAAAGCAACTAAATTTTTATGATCACATCAGTGTTGTTTATAGCGATAAGGTAATTGCTAATACAAAAGCGACACCTCTTGGTATCGCAATGTTCGTTTTATGACTGTGTTAGGTTCGTTTATGAGTTTTTTATAGAGAAAGAAACATGCAGTTATTCGTAGTTACTTTCTTAGCTCATACTTGATTCACTTTAATATATGACACTTTCATATAGAGTAATAAAACATATTTTTACATGATCACAACTACACGACGACTTAAATCAGATCTTCGGTACAAAAATATTTAAAGTAAATACCCATAATAATTGTTCAATCTGCAGGAATTTCCATGGCTGTGAAATGATAAGTGGTGCTTTATAAACAACACTCTGTAAACATTGAATGCATAATTTATGAGACTAACAATGGGTACTGAATTTGAATCAACGTATACTAAGGATTCTGGTTTCAGTTTGAGAATTGTTTGCGAATTTTTACTGTTAAGCATTGTGAGTAAAAACATTTTTGCTAAATTTTCGTGTATTAGAAAAAATGTATTATATATACGTTTAGAAAAACTTTTTTTGCAAAAAAACATTTCTCAAATAAATATAATGCAGTTTTGCTATTTTCGTGAAAACAACAAAAAAAATATTGACACTGAACATAATAAAATAAGTGTCTTCCTAAAATTAATATTGATCTATGAAAAATAGTCCTGGAATGCAGCTTCGCAGTTTTGCGATTTGGAACCCCAAATATGTAATTTATTAACTAAAATTTTACCTAATTTTTGAAAAATTGACTAGATGTTATTGTTTCGTGAAATCAACAAAAAAAAACAAATATTAATACTGAACATAATAAAATTCATAGTATTGGCCAAAAATTAAATACAAGTATATGCAAAACATATAGACAGGGATTAAAAATTTGGTAATTTAAAATAAATGTCCAAACATTATTATTCTATGAAAAATAATTATTAATAATAGATATTTTGAATGAAAAAAATGCAAGAACTGAAAAGCTACTAAATATCAGTTTATGCAATTGAAATTTGTCTGTGTAGCGTGTAATAATTTTTAAAACTTGAATAAATACAAATAATAGATAATTGATCCAAAAGTAACAACAGCGAACTAGTTAATATTTTACACAAAAAAATGATTTAATTTTACAAAAATTTTTGCATCGATTTAAAAAGAAAATATTTCGAATAAATTAAAGTCCGATTAAAACCATTCGAAACTAAATATTACGTTCAGTATCAATATTATAATTATCGTTGGTTTCACTGAACGGCACACCCTGCATAAACCGCAAAACCTCAAACCACATCCGATACGCGTTCGCGACACTATCATCACACGGCGATCACTATAATCATCCTGGGCGTAGCGAACCGCGGGTTTGGACGAAGGCGGTTCGTAATCCGTTCGGGGGGTAGTCTCAAAACTTTCTCGGAGTATGCAGACACTTACCACACTGAACGAGTTCATGATGCTTGACGACGACGGGTCTGTGGTGACTGTGACGAAGTTCGCTTGTCGACGACGGTTCTTATAAGCAGATGGAGAGGAGCGAGCGAAAAAGAAGAAACGAAGAGGGAAGAAGAAGATGCTGGCGGGCGGCGCGACGCCCGGAGACGCCGACGTCGACGCGTGAAAGTACCAGAGGACGGTACCCGTTGGACAGTAGAGGAATACGTGCGAAATGGCATGGCGGCGCGTGTCGGACGCCACTGGTCAGTATGATTCTTGTTTTTTTACCCGAATGAACAGCGATTTTTGTCTTCAAACAAGTCGAGAAAAAACATTTTTTAGTATCAACACTCTCCAAAACCAGTCAAAGTCACGATTAAGGCCACCATTCGATGGATCTTTTCAAACCGTACAACTTTATTATTTCTGTTGTCAAAAATAGGGATTTCCTTTTTTACTGTATGTGTCAAAATGCCGGTTACCTTTTAAGAAGCCTACCTTGACCTTTAAATAGCCTTGAAGGTCATAGTCAATTTCATAGTTACGGTCACCAATCGATGGATCTTTTCAAACCTTACAAATTTATTATTTCCGGTGTCAACAATAGGGCGTTCCTTTTAGGAAGCCTACCTTGACCTTTACATAGCCTTGAAGGTCATAGTCAACGTCACTGCTAAGGTCACCATTCGATGGATCTTTTCAAACCTTACAATTTTATCATTTCCGGTATCAAAAATGGGGGTTCGTTTCAAGAAGCCTACCTTGCCTTTAAATAGCCTTGAAGGTCATAGTCAAGGTCGCGGTTAATATCACCATTCGATGGACCATTTCGAATCTTGCAACTTTATTATTCTGGTGTCAAAATGGCGTTTCCGTTTTAAGAAGCCTACCTTAGCCTTTAAATAGCCCTGAAGGTAATAGTCAACGTCACTGCTAAGGTCACCATTCGATGAATCTTTATAAACCCTACAACTTTTTTATATCCGGTGTCAAAAATGGTGACTTCCTCTAAAGAAGACTACTTTGACCTTTGAATAGTCTTGAAAGTCATAGTCAACATCACAGCTACGGTAATCGTTTGATGGATCTTTTTAAACCTTACAATTTTATCATTTGCGGTGTCAGAAATGGGGGTTTCCTTTTAAGAAGCCTACCTTGACCTTTAAATAGCTTTGAAGGTCATAGTCAACGTCACTTCTAAGGTCACCATTCGATGGATCTTTTCAAATCCTACAATTTTATTATGGGGGTTTCCTTTTAAGCAGCCTACCTTAACCTTTAAATTGCCTTGAAGGTCATAGTTAACGTCACGGTTAAGGCCACCATTCGATGGATCTTTTCAAACCTTACAACTTTATCATTTCCGGTGTCAAAAATGGTGGCTTCCTTTCACGAAGCCTATTTTGACCTTTAAATAGTTTTGAAGGTCATAGTCAAGGTCACTGTTAAGGTTACCAATCGATAGATCTTTTCAGAACTTACAACTTTATTATTACGTTGTCAAAATGGGGGTTACCTTTTAAGAACCCTATCTTGACCTTTAAATAGCCTTGAAGATCATAGTCAAAGTCACGATTAAGGCCACCATTCGATGGATCTTTTCAAACCTTACACCTTTATTATTTCCGGTGTCAAAAATAGGGCTTCCTTTTTAGGAAGTCTACCTTGACCTTTAAATAGCCTTGAAGGTCATAGTCAACGTCACGGTTAAGGCCAACATTCGATGGATCTTTTCAAACCTTACAACTTTATCTTTTCCGGTATCAAAAATGGTGGCTTCCTTTTAAGAAGCCTACTTTGACCTTTAAATAGCCTTGAAGGTCATAGTCAAGGTCACTGTTAAGGTCACCAGTCGATGGATATTTTCAGATCTTACAACTTTATTATTACGGTGTCAAAATGGGGGTTTCCTTTTAAGAAAAATACCTTGACCTTTAAATAGCCTTGAAGGTCATAGGCAAGGCCACAGCCAAGGTCACCATTGAATGAGACTTTTCAAACCTTACAACTCTATTCTACGAAACGAATATTAAAAAAGTTTAACCCTACATTGCATCTACGGTAGAGGCAGCCAATTCTTATCGGTCCTGTATTGGCCAACTGAGACGTAACCGGCCGCCCATGGTTATAACAGCGTCGCTTTCGTCTTGTATAGCAAGTCTCGTTTTCTCGGGTAGGCGGGTACTGCTTAATATTTCAAGTACTGTTGCAGTCCATTCGGACTCGCCGGAGGTGCTCTTCATGTCCAGATAATTATCTTTTACTTCTAATTATAGCATTTGCACTTTCCCCTTTGAGTGAGTGCCATCATCCCGACTTTGCTTGATTCAATTTTTGATTGATTTACGAGTCGTACACTGGAGACCAAAATCAACACTTTTGGGAACTCAGAGAGTAGGTACTCTAAGGTCTATCTAACTAGCTATAGAGAAAAAGTGAAACGATTCTAGTATATCTCTTCAATTTAGTTGCTGTATCTACAAGTTTTGTTGGGTAGTGTATACCGGGCATCAGAAGGTACCCATTCGGGACCGGTATTTCGGCCTTTCAGACCTACCACTGATATGCAAAAAGACTTTCCAATGCGTTTTGTAAATGAATTCGCATTTACCATATACAGTAGCTGAAAGATGTCTCCGTAAATTTTGAGCAGTTGCGTAATGCTGAACTCACGCGAGTTTTTCGTCATTGATGTTATCAATTTTGAACAGAGTAATGCTCACAGAACTTATTATTATTCTTCATACGCTAGAGACAAAGGAATCCTTCAATGCCCTGTCTATAGATTCCAAAATTTCCCGAACGTCATTGTTTTCCATGACTTCACAATTCTGACACCTGTACGATGAACCCAAATTTTATTCTACCTGCATAAAAATATATGATTATCTAATAGCAATTTTGAATGCCTTACAAGGTACAAATCAATTACAGAATATTCTTTTATAGATCCTCATATTTGGGAAAGTTCATTTGCATATCGTCTGGTATTTTCCAATACGGAAATTATTTCATACCAGAAATCGACAACGCCCTATACGTTTTTTAAGGAAAGGTGTTTAACGTAGCTCTTTGTCTGGCACATCTATTATCATGTTTCATAGACAGATAAATGAAACCACGGACGTAACAAGAAAAAAACTACTGACGTTTGGACCATATCGGTTGCCTTCTCCCATTTACAAAACGTGGAATATATTGGTTGTCCTGGTATTCAGCTATATCAGATATACGCATCACTTGGAAGCAGAAATTGCCACACTGACATCTGAATAATAACTGCTAAAATAGACCAATTAGGACCTATAAATCTCGGAACCCAATTACCAAATTCTACTTGTTTCGTCTGAATAGTGAAAGGTAAAAAGTTGGTACCGGCAGTATTGTGAAGAGGAGATTGGCTTCTGTATGAAACGACCCAGAAAAAAAGGATTGCTAAAATGATCATTGTAGATTTACCGTTATAGTGGTGCTTTTCAACCATTAGCACTATAACATCTGTTAATGGAATAATATGTGCAACATTTTTGCAATACAAGACGTTACTGAGAAATGAAAAAATAGTAAAAGGTGTTCTAATTCTGGCAAGAATTGTAAGTTTTTTGAGTTCCTGATTATTTTTGAACTATTAAAATTTTTACTTGAATATCTGGAGCTTTTTTCGGCGTCAAAAACTTCCTTAACTTATTTATTTTTCAGCCTGGCATTATTTTTATTCTATTTAGTGTCTTTAATAATTCTTTACCCATCTTTATTTGTTGTTCATCATTTGAACTTTGTTTTATCAACTTTTTTACCTTTAATTGCCAGTTTGTGTTTTATGTTGGTCCTATTTACGTATTGTCCGTTATTTTTACTCACTTTTTTATCTTCCACTCTAACTGATCTATGCAAACACGATTCTGTCATTATCATCATCATTATCCTTATCATTATCATTATCATTATCATCATCTATTATCATCATCATTATCATCATATCTATCATCTCATTATCATTATCATTATCATCATCAATTATCATCATCAGTATCAGTATCATCATCATTATCAGTATCATCATCATTATCATCATCATTATCATTATCATTATCATCATCATCTCATTATAATTATTATCATTACTGTTATCATTATTGATATCGATATCGTTATGGTGATTGTTATCGTATAATTATCATTATTATCATCAAATTAAATTAGTATCCTTTTAGAAATTGCGTCTTTTTCATTAGGCTTCTATTAAAAGAAGTTGTAGTAGAGCGTATGAAGCTAATTGGTGGAAAAAACACCAATGTTCATAAGAGAATTTTATTCAATCGACAAAACAAGTTATTTTGGGGGGCTGTTGAAAAATGACAAAATAATGAATGGTGTTCTAAAATTCGCACAAAAATTGAATCAAACAGAAAAACATAGTTTTCTTTTTCATATTATTCTGTGAATAGCATATTTTTTCGCATTCCAGGCAAAAATTTTGTTTCTGTACGTTTTTTGAGTTCCTGATTATTTTTGGACTATTAAAATTTTTACTTGATGATCTGGAGCTTTTTTTGACGTCGAAGACTTCCTCAACATGAATTTTTCCAACCTGGCATAATTTTTATTGTATTTAGTGTCTTTTATAATTCTTTACCCGTCTTTATTTGTTGTTCATCGTTTAAACTTTGTTTTATCAACTGTTTTACCTTTAATTGCCAGTTTGTGTTTTATGTTTGTCCTATTTACGTATTGTTTGTTGTTTTTACTCACTTTTTTATCTTCCTCTTTAACTGACCTGTGCAAACACGTTTCTGTCATTATCATTATCATCACTATCATTATCGTTATCGTTATCATTATCGTATCATTATCGTTATCATTATCGTTATCATTATCGTTATCATTATCGTTATCATTATCGTTATCATTATCGTTATCATTATCGTTATCATTATCGTTATCATTATCGTTATCATTATCGTTATCATTATCGTTATCATTATCTTTATCATTA